CACCCCCGCCACTCTGGCCTCCCAGAACCACACATGCTTTCCCCAGCGGGATCAACGAAGTCTGTTCTTTCCTGAAGATGGAAAATCATGACTCACCAGGAGGGGAGAGGGCCAGAGGAGTCTGGAGGGGGAAGGGGTGACAAGGGTCCTGTTGGGTCATCTGGGCACAGTTCCAACTCCACAGCACCAGCCCCTTCTGCCCTGGGCCACCTCTCAGGCTTGTGAGAGGCTAGGGGGAGGGGGTCTTCAGATAGGTTTGTTGATTAGGTAAGAAGCCAGTGGCCCTGGGAGGTTCATGGGTCAAGGATGAGGGGGGAAAGCAAGGCCCAGAGACACAAGTGATCCGCACAAGATCACCCATCCAGAACTGGAACCCAGGAATCCAAGTTTGGCCTGAATTGGTGCCCATTTCCATCCAAGGAAGGGTTAGGGCTCCTAGACCCTGTCCTGTCCTTAAAACTGTCCTGGAGAACCCTGTTAAGGTCCCTATCCCCATTCATCTTCACACTGTCTGTCTGTCTCATCCCTCCCCCCATAGTTTGTAAAATGTCAAAGCAGTTCCTCCCCCATAGTAGCCACCTGCTTTTTTACTCCCCCCCATTCTTTCTTATGCAGAAGAAACATCTGTGTTTTGACTCCCCAAGGGGCTTCCCCTCCTCCTACCACAGGTTGGGGGAGGGGAAGGGGAGACAGGAAAATATGGGAAAGGGAAGTGTAAGGGAGGGGCCAGTGGGGGAGGGAATTGGGGAGATGGTAGGACATGCCATAAAGGAGGCTTCCTCCCTCAGAACTGGGAACCGCCTAGCCCTGGCACTCCTATATCTGCCACCCCCCCAGGATCACCTCAGATGTTCACAACACCCATGATCCTCCACAAACACCCGTAGGCACGCTAGGTCCAGGAGACCCTTGGACACCCAACTTAGTAAGAGGACAGTTCTGCCCAGCCATAAACACACACACACACACACACACACACACACACACACACAGAGCAAGTCCAGAACTGTGGGACCACACATGGGATCACATATAGGTGGACACATGAGGTGCACACCCATACATACCTGGTCACCCCAGCAGCCGGATGTGGACATTCACACACGGGGTCACAACTACACACACACACACACTCGGACTCATCCACACCTGGACGGATATCCCTGAGTCGCACAGCCTCACAAACAGCCATGGCTCCACCCCAACCTTGAAACAGCATTTTCTTCCAAAGCAAGAGCCCCAGAGCAGACAGACCCAGAGTCCCCCATTCCCATGGGAAGTCAGTTCCCTCCCCCACTCCCGCCAGGCCCCGCGCGCCCCTCTCCCTCCAAGCTCCCTACCGCCTATGGAAGGAGGTGGGCCAGGAGCGCCGCGCCTTCTTTAGACCCGGTCGCGGACTTCCGTCCGACTCAGCGTGGTGCGCGCACTTGTCCGGGTCCGAGTGGAAGCGCTGTTGGATGCGGATGGGGTGCCGGGGCTGCCGCCACAGGTGCTTCGGAGGTCTGGCTATGCCTTGGCGGCTACGAGAGTAACTACAGTATGTCTCTGCCCCTTCGCTGACCCCGAGGGTCTCCATGCGCTAAATGAGGGAAGCGGTGTGTGTTTGTGGGGGAGGGGGGAACAGCAGAGCTGAAAGTCGACCCGGTCCAACCTGGGGCTGGGGTGGAGGCGACAGCGAGGAGCGGTCCGTGCCTGATCTTTAAGCAGGGAGAAGGTAAAACCAGTGGCCCCAGGTAGGAGCTGTTCGTGCCCAGATAGTGCTGAAGGGTGGCAAGAGTACAAGGACTGGGAGGACCCTCTAGAGTCAAAAGAGGAAGAGGTTCAAGACAAGGAATTGAGGCGATGGAGACAGAAATTGTCCTCTGGTTACGGTTGAATGTTGGGCAGAAGGCAGAGACACAGAAGACCCCCCACCCCCGAGCCTGTGGCGCTGTCCACTCTAAGGTGCTGAAATGGAAGCCTATGGTAGCTTCCGGGGTTCCGAGTGGATGCAACTGGGGAAACTGTCCCTGTCCTGGATGGTGTTGACCGCCACGCAAGGAGACGGGATCGGCGCACGCCCAGATTAGGGCACTGTCCACCCAGGAGGTGCTGACAATGTAAAGGTAAACAGTGGCGGGTTCTCAACCCACCCCAGCAACAGCGCCAAGGAGGATCTGAAAGCAGAGTTAAGAGCTCTGGTCTTTGGCGGTAAGCACAGATGATGGAGTCTCTGACAAGCCCAGGAGGTTTAGCAGTTTAGCCCCAGACAGGGTCTCTTTGGGACCACCTTCTATGCAGATGAGGAATTCTGGGAAGATAAAATGGAGAGGGCTATGGTGGGGATGCTGCCACTGTGCATAAGGTCGCTATGAGTCAACTCGAAGGCACCTAACAACAACAACAATGGTGGGGGTCTCCCATGTGTAAGGTTGGCACACAAAGATTGGCCGGGACTCAGAAGAGTCACTGTGAGGAAGGGGACATGGGGAGGAGAAGTCATATCCTTCTACTAAGCTTCCTAGTTCTGCTTCTAAGACCCTCCCCACCTTGCTCCCGGGGTGCTTCTGGGTTGAGGGTAAATTGGCAAGAAGAGAACCTACCTTTTGTGGGAGCTCAGGACAAGCAGCCAGAGCTTCTTGGAGATCCCCACCTACCCTTTTATAGTCACACCAACACCAGACCCTCTGAGGAAATGGCCAGATCTCATTTGCCCTGTGATGCCTGGGTTCCACCCTGCACATAATTCCTGACCTCAAATCCCAGGCCTGCTCCTCCCTTCCCCAGTTCTGGAAACTCAAGTGTCAGCCCACTGGGCATTCTGGTCCCATGATAATTTCCTGGGACCTGGAGGCTAGGAAGAACATTTTATATCTCGTTCATAAACGTAGACTTGGATGTCAGCAGGGCTGGGCAGATAGGTGTAGGGCAGATGGAGGTTGGACTGGATCACAACTTGGTGGGGGTCACCTGTGGATGCTGGGTGGTGGCAGGGACCTGTGTATCTATGAATGTGACCCTGTTTGGAAACAGGGTTTGTGTTTTGTTATGCAAGTGAGGTCATGCTGGAAGCAGGGTGGATCCTAATCTCTTCTGAGTGGTGTTTTATAAAAGAGTAGAATAAACGGAGACACACACAGAGAAAAAATCTACAGGCGACAAAAGAACACCAAGGTTTGCCACAAGCCTGCAGAAGCCAGGAAAAAGGTGCAGAGCAGTTCCTCTCTCAAAATCCTCAGAAGGAATCAATATAGACAACCCCCTGATTTGGATATTTCTCATGGAAATGTTTTCTCCCCCCTCCCATTCCAATCCTGCCCCCAAATTAAAGGAATGCAAGATATTGAGGCCAAAAAGACAGATGGAATAAATTCAAACCCCAGGACTGCCATATCCACATAGCCCCTCTATGTTCTTTTTGAGCGTGGCTCAGTCCCCACTGACGCGCCCTCTTGTACTTCTGTTCCATCCCCCTGCCCTGAGAATTGACAGTGGGAGGCATTGTAGTACATGGGTTCGGCTGTTTCCCTTGTTGGGGTCTCAGTTATCCCTTCTGGGTATGATGGCAGTGTCTCCAATTCTTGGCACCATTGCAAGGAGATGTCACATATGAAATGTCATGGCCAGTCGGTATTCGCGACAGGCGCTCTTCTTCCCCTACCCCTCCTGGTGTCCACCAATACCTGATGCGTCTACTTCATAATTATTCTCCCAATCTGCCTGCTTCTCTTCAGCTCCTGATTCCCACCCTGCCTCAGCAGTTCAAAGTCGTCAACCACCCCTCGGTAGAAAGATGAGGCTATCTGCTTCTGTAAAGATTTCCAATCCAGGAAACCCTAAGAAACAATTCCACTCTGTCTTATAATGTTGTTATGAGTCAGAATCGACCAGATGGAAGTGGGTTTATCTGTCTATTTGTCTATCATCTATTTATATGTCTATTATCTTTCTATCTCCTCCTGGAAACTGCACCCTTATCCCCATTTGCCTACTCACCTGCCTGGGGCTGGACTGCTGGTCTGCTCTGACCCTCGAGCCTCGATGGTGAACACAACACGCGTATCAAGGTCAACCTCGCCTGCATGCCCAAGGCGACTTGACAGTGGTGGCAGCAATGGGGTCCCTGAGAAGCGTCTCCGGATGACACCACCACCAAGGGGGCTCACAGGGGCTGAGCCAGAATCTGCAGACTCTCGGGTCCTCTGGGGAGACACAGGTAAGACATGAGTGAGTTCCCAGGCATAGAACTCCCTAGGATGCTGGGAGGCTCTGAAATACCCCACCCTGAAAACTGGACCAGCCCAGACAGCTGTACCTTAGTTCTGCTTCCCCTCCTTGGGTGATTTTACCTCTCTGAGCCTGTCATGGATGGATGGTGTCCCCCCAGAATATATGTCAACTTAGCTAGGCCATGATTCCAGTATTGTATGGGTGTCTTCCTTTCTGTGATCTGATGTAATTGTCCTATGGAGCATATATCCTAATCTCTGCCTGTGGTTAATGAGGCAGGATTAGGTGAAGTCAAAGAGGATTAGGTTATGCTTATTATGTGAATGAAGTGGAATTAAGGTAGGATGATGCAACATCCTAACTCAAGTCATTGCATTTCTAATGTAAGGGGAGTTTCCCTGGGGTGTGGCCTACATCACCTTTTATCTTACAGAAGATAGAAGTGTGCAGAGAAGGAGGGGCCTGACTATCACCAAATAGAGCAAGGAGCAGAGCATGTCCCTTGGGCCCAAGACCCCTGTTAGATCCCAGGGGAATACTGATGCCAGGACACATGGAGATCTCCAAAGAATTCTGGGCTAACAGATGTTGAAAGGAAACAAGGATCTTTCCCCTAGAACTGACAAAGAAAGAGCCTACCCCTAAATCTGGCATGTGGGATTCAGACTTCTAGTCTCCTAAACTCTGAGAGAATAAATTTTTGCTTTTTGAAGCTACCCGCCTATGATATTTTTAGATAAATATCACAGTTAGCTAGTTATTAGCACTAGATAACTCATCTGCAAAATGGGGATGTTGAGCTCAAATTTGTTGAATATATGTAGTGTCTGGTGTACAGTAGGCATTGAAGAAATATTTATTAAGCAACCAGTAAATAATATGTGTGTTATTTATAATTTATGAGAGGGCTTCAAAAAGTTTGTTGAATTGGCAAAGAAGAAGTAAAACACTATATTTGCAGATGATATGATCCTATACTTAAAAAATACCTAGAAAATTATTGGAATTCATGGAAGGACTCAGTAAAGTATCAGGGTAAAAGATCAACACAAAATTCCTTTATACTAATAAAGATGAAATTTGTTGTTGTTGTAGTTGTTAGGTGTCATCAAGTTGGTACCGACTCATAGCGACCCTATGCACAGCAGAACAAAACACTGCCCGATCCTGGGCCAACCTCAATACTGTTGCCACGCTTGAGTCCATCGATGCTGCCACCTAGCCAATCCATCTCGCTGGGGGTTTTCCTCTTTTTCTCTGACCCTCCACCTTACCAAATATGATATCCTTCTCCAGCGACTGGTCCCTCCTGACAATATATCCCAAGTATGAGAGACGAGTTTGGCCATCCTGGCCTCCAAGGAGCACTCTGGCTGCACTTCTTCCAACATGGATCTGTTTGTTCTTTTGGCAGCCCATGGCATGTTCAATATTCTCCTCTAACACCATAACTCAAAAGCATCAATTCTTCTATGGTCTTTCTTATTCACTGTCCAAGCTTTTGCATGCATATGAGATTATTGAAAATACCATGGCTTGGGTCTGGCTCTCCTTAGTCCTCAAGCTGACATCTTTGCTCTTCAACACTTTAAAAAGGTCTTGTGCAGCAGATTTGCTATGTCATTTGATTTCTTGACTGCTGCTTCTGTGAGTGTTGATAGTTGCTCCAAGAAGAATGAAGTCCTTGACAACTTCAATCTTTTCTCCATTGATAAGAATGTTGTTTATTGGTCTAGTGGTGAGAGTTTTTGTTTTCTTACATTGAGATATAATCCATACCAAAGACTGTGGTCTTTGATCTTCATCGAATTGACTACATCTGCAGAAAGAGACGATGGAAAAGCTCCATAGCATCAGTGAAAACAAGGCCAGGGCAAGCTGTGAAACAGACCATCAATTTCTCATATGCAAATTCAAACTGAAGCTGAAGAAAATGAAAACATGTCCACAAGAGCCAAAATATGGCCTTGAATATATCCCACCTGAATTTAGGGATCATCTGAAGAACAGATTTGATACATCTTTAATGAAATACTTAGGAATAAATCTAACCAAAGAAACAAAAGACCTATACAAAGAAATCTATAAAACACTACTACAAGAAACCAAAAGAGACCTACAAAGATGGACGAATCTGACATGCTTATAGATAGGAAGACTAACATTGTGAAAATGTCACCACTACCCAAAACATTCTATAGTCACATGTAATTCCAATCCAGGTTCCAACATCATTCTTTCAAGAGATGGAAAAACTAATAAGCAACTTTATATGGAAAGGAAAAAGACCTCAGATAAGCAAAGCATTACCTAAAATAGAAGAAAGTAGGAGGCCTCTCACTTTCAGATCTCAAAACACAGCCCAGT